ATGTACCTAATGATCTCCAAGGAGGTCGACTTATTATAAACTAAATAAGCAAAAAAATCTAGTTTTCAAAGCTTGAGCTGTGCTTTCATATGTCAATCAGGTAGCCAGTTTCTTTAGCACTCGCTAATTACTATAGTAGTATTAGTCTCAAAGAAGTGAATTAGTTTACTATATTATATAACTACATGCGAATAATAATATTTCCTTTCATAGAAATTCATTGTTATCAAATTGACAATAAAAACAACTAATAAAGTAACAGCATCTTATACTTATATAGATATGTTTTATTTTTTTAAACTGTCCAGGCATAAGAATGTCTAAACATCCTTGATATTAATATACAATATATATTATAGTGAATAAATACTTATTTCTTTAATCATATACTGGCTAGATCCAGATGGCTCCATATAGATAGTTTGTCTACATCTTCATCTTTACTGGACAAGCGCTGGCACGACAAATAGGTATATGTAAATATTTAACTCGTGCGGTATTCAAACTTGCGACAATAGTGAAGTAGGCCAACCAGACATAACGCCACTAGGCATGATGTCAAGTACTACAAGTTAATGGGATGCGTTTAACTTAACAAAGCACTGGTGCTAAGCGCGCAAAACAATTACAGAGCACTAGCTCATCGTGTCTCGTTAAGAAGTAAAACACTTGTCCAGCAAAGTGGATGTAGGTGTAAAACAAAATGTTAAAATACATTTACCTTAACTGTATGGTAAAGGCTTTTTTATATTTAGAAAGAAATTTATTAACGATTTTGATCATTTGTTTAATGGTGTTGGCGGCTTGTTTCTTTAACTAATTAAAAATAGAAAAGTAAGTTTAAAAAATAAGTAAAACATTTAGAAGAGTATGGAATTAAAAAAATAGAGTCTGAAATGACTAACATCAAAATAAAATGAGTAACGTTAAAAGTGCTTTGAACAAAGCTTTATCAATTTTAGGTTTAAAAGATTATAAAAATAGAGGAAAATAGATTAAAAATACTACTTAAGGATATTTTCTTAGATTTAAATAATAATGTGCATTAATAAGTTTTTGAAAGGTGAAGATGCAAAGCTTTTTCTATTGATTTGCCTCTTATTCATATAAAACTTACCTTAAGTAACACCGCAATTACCAAGCGATCGCCGTTACTTCTAAAAGCTTTGTTAATTAGTGTTTAAGTTGCGCTTAGAATTTATTACATTGGTAGAATATCTTCCACGTCGTGAACCTATCACGTGAAATTCCCACGTTATTTTCCTTTTCCGGAAAACAAACTATAAAAAGTTCTTCCGAAACAGGAATAGAGACTTGTTTATGCGGTAATAATGTAAATGTAACTTACATGTTAATGTTTTTGTTTTGTTTAATTAACTTGTATTTTTTATCCCCTTTTAAGGTATTTGAGTACATTCTTCACTATCCTATTAAAATATTTAATCGTAAAGCTAACTGGAAATGAATATTTAAAAGCTTTTATCTATTTATTTAGCAATACTTAAATAATGTTCTAATAATTTACAATCTATTGCATGTTGCGACGACATTTAATTATAAAAGTCTAAGTTAATATTTACAAAAAATAACAAAACTATGTGTTTATATTTTAAGGATAATGATAAGGTAGCAAATAATTATACCTCAATAAGTAATTAAATATGTAATAATTTAATTTTAGTAGTATATACATATATTGATAATAATTCAATGTGGCCGTTTCATATCTTTATTCTATAGTTATTCTTTACTCTATAGTTGTAGTAGGCATTTTTATAACAGCTCAGTACGAATGCGTGCGAAGTGTTTCCATGTACTGCCCGCCGTTTTGCTAACTAGTCACGCATCAAGGACGTGAATCGGACGTATTTAGAATAATTTTGAAGTGATCACTGGCAGTTCTCACGCTATAGGCATTCGTAGTTAAAGTTAATATATGCTTATGATATTGTAACAGCTTTTAAACTGTTATATTCATAGGTTCATAAATGGAGAATCAAACGAAGTAACTAAAGAAAGTATAGTAACACCTCACTCTGATTATTACTTTTGGCCCATTTCATCTGGTGCTTTCTAACGGCTCTTAGTCAACATCAAATAAATACATGTATAGGCATGGGAGAATCGAACTTAATATCTAAGCAGTAATAGGCTGTATCTTGATCTGTAGGATGTATCTTGTCTAGATTACAGTTTAATAAAATAAAAAATCTCAAACTTCAAGAATTTTATACAATAGTTATAGATACTTCATTTAAATAAAATGTAAATATTAATACTTAAAAAAGTTTTTTTCTGCGCCTTTTCTTTTTTAAGCTGTATAAATAATTATTTTCAACAAGAGATCAAATAATAAATTTTGACATTAGTAACATAAAATGTATAATAAACCCCAAACGAGCATTTGTATAATTTTCCCATGACTATCATATAATTAAACATGTTTGTATAGTCATAGAAATATAATTTTATTAATACAACAATAAAGAATATATTATAAAGATTAAAATATGTTCATTGTAGCAGATATTTCGTGCAAAAAACACGCATATATATTACATCAGTTAAGCTAATAGAAAATTTGTCCGTAACAAATTGGTCAGATGGTCGGCGCTCGGTGCACTGAATAAATTGACTACAAACTTAAAAAAACTTGTTGCTTCTGTTGTGACAGAGTAGAGATTAGGGCGTGCGTCCTAACCAAATGAAGCACATAATTATCAACGTCCAATTACGACATAAATTGAAATGTTATATTTTTGTTTTTAAAAAGATATAAAATAGCCTACGTCGCTCTCACCCTACGATCCATCTACCCGCCAGCTAAAGTGTCGTTAAGTGGGTAAGGTTGTTCTTTATTCTTAATTCCACGAAATAGCTTTTTCTTCTTCGGGATTAAAATTAAAAAACACAGATTTTTATCGGTTACCTCGCATCGCTTCGCTCGCGCTAAAACTACAAAAAAACCTAAACCTAAAAAAACCTAAACTCTCATCCCTTATTTTCCCCTTATGGGATGAATTTCGAAAAATGTTAAAACACGTATTAATCAAATGAGAAATTGTCTTTGCTGCGCTATCTGTTACATGGAGACACTGATTAGCGTGCAACTTGATAACAAATGGACTGTATAATTAATGGCCAATAGCGATCGAAATTGAAACATAACAACAAACAATACTATTACAATATAATATACTCATACATTAATAAAATAAACGTTAATCAAGACACTAAAACCAAAAACAAGTAACTAAACAAAAATTCTATACAACATTTGTTCCATACACTTTTTTATATAATATAATGATATATGAATAAATGAATTCAAATACAAGCTAAATATTTTAATGAACTAAAACATTTATTTTCATTATAATAGGTCTCAAGGAAACTTAAGCCATTATAAAGCGATGCTTAATGAAGAAGATATTATGATATTGGTTGGTTTATGTCTTTATGATATCATTTTGCGTTTAGTGCCAGTGCATAAAGTAGTCGGGCGTTGTCTGCGCAGATAGGAAATGGTATGAGAATCAATATAAATAAATTGGCCAATAGAATAGCCTGAGGAGCATCGTACACGTCTGGCCCCAGATCAAATGCTATAATTCAAAGCAACATATCAATTAAAATGAGTATTAAGGATTCTCGTCTCCAACTAGTCCTAGGAATACTTTTGATTATAATTTTAGATGGATCTTTTATACTAATCGTGATTTTTTAGAATAAAATATATTATGATATTAGAAATTACGTTTGGCAAAAATAAAGAGTGATGATCAAAAACTAATTACCTACCTACATTTATTTAAATATAATCAAAAATCGTAATATATTACGCATTTTATAGTACAACTATTCTTAGACAAATAACCACCTATAATAACCTTAACTGTGTGAACAAACTACATAAGAAATAAATATATGAAAACGTTTATATTAAAACGAACATATTTAATAATAAACATTTTCTTCTAATTATAATGCAGTGTGAAAGCAAGTAAGACTTTCATTAGTAAGAAGCAAACGGCATCAGCGTATATCGTGCAGGCGGTACAAGATTTATGTATTTTGTCATAAATCGCAACTATATTTACGATCAATATCTTGCTGTGATTTACAACGACAATATTATTAAAACGTCTAAGACCTCATCTGCGTTTAGGTTTAAATACATATACATAGCCTTACTAATATTATAAATACGTACATATGTTAGTGTCTCTGAGTTCCAAATAGCCTTTTAACTAACGTAACCTACTTAGGTTACGTAGGTCTCTTTATCTTACGATAAAACTATGATATTTGATACTACATAGGGAAACTATATAGCAATTTTTTTTCGATGATTAATTCAACATTTGGAATATTTTCTGCCTGTTAAACTTGTAATAGTATAGAAAAAATTGCAGTAAAAATCAGAACTGCTATTGTAAAGGATACATATATGATGTTCTCCTAGCCCGGGGGTCACCAAATGGCGGACCGCGGTCCGTATCCGGACCGCCGACCTATTTTGTGCGGACCTTAAGTAAATAGTACAATATAATTTACTTTTGTGACTTGAGTATGTAATTTAATAATTTATTTCGCGCTTTGTCTTTACTTCCGTCCATCCGACAACGGACGAGCGCGGAGCGAGAGATCATCAGTCGTCGAGGGAAGGGTGCGGCACAGTGAAGACGGGGGTAAGCACTCGCTCACGCCGTCGCCGCCCGCGCTGGCAGTGTTTTGTTTTCATTTTGAGTGACGGACGCTAACACCACGTGCGCTAAATACGTTTCTTTGTCTACGCTACGAGCTTAGGCACATTTGCGAGTTTATGTTTACAATGGAACCGAAAAAAAGAAAGGTTGAAGTCGAAAATAGAAAGTTTTTGTCAGAATGGACCGATTTATATTGTTTTATGCTGCCAAATCGTTCTAGAGCAGTACCAATGTGCTTAATTTGTCAACAAACAGTGGCGTTAATTAAAAGCTCGAATATAAAAAGACATTATGAGACCAAGCACAAATCATTTGCCGAAAAATTCCCAATTGGTAGTAATCTGCGTAAATCTAAAATTGCAAGTTTATGGTCAAGGCACACATCCATCCCAGATCATGAGTCGTTCAATGACTGAACAGGAGAAATGTGGTGAGGCTTCTTTACGTATTTCTTGGACTCTTGCTAAGCATATGAAACCATTTACCGATGCCGACATAGTAAAAGAATGCATGCTCGCGGCAGGCAATGTTTTGTTTGAGAACAGAAAAGATGTTGTTGAAACTATTCGGCGAATTCCGTTATCAGCGTCTACTAACTCAAGAAATACACATGTTTTGGCAGAAGAAAATCATTGCGATGTGAAACGGCAGTTAAAAAATGCAGACTATTATGCATTGTCTATAGATGAATCATGCGATATTACTGATAAAGCACAACTGGTTATTTTTGTACGGTACTTGGACAAATTGAGAGACACTTTTGTTGAGGAGCTATTAGTTATTTTGCCGTTAATTGGAAGAACACGAGGAGAAGACATGATCAACACGGTGATGGATTATTTCGATAAAGATGATTTAGACTTGAAAAAGCTTTTATCTGTAACTACCGACGGTGCACCAGCGATGGTTGGGGCCAAAAAAGGACTAGTTCACCTATTGAGAACCAATGCAAAATGTAATGAAAATTTGATTTCTTACCACTGTATCATACATCAAACTGTGCTTTGCTGCAAACTCAATCCTAATTTTGAGAGTATTATGCAAGAAGTGATCAAAATAATAAATTTTCTTCGTGCAAAATCATCACTGAAACATCGTGAATTAAAAATATTTCTTGACGAAGTTGATGCACAATATGACGATCTATTGTTGCATAATAATGTGAGATGGTTAAGCAAAGGCTGCGTTTTACAACGATTCTTCGCCATTTTAGAAGACTTGAAGACATTTCTGTTCAACTCTGATCAGATTTTGACAAACGCCTACTTAACTTTTCTAAACGATAAAGAAAATTTAGCTTCCATCGCTTTCTTATCGGATATTTTTAAACATATCAATGATCTGAACGTTAAACTTCAAGGCAAAGGAAAGCTTGTATGGGAGCTTCTGACAAAAGTAAAAAGCTTTTCGCGAAAACTCGATTTATTTAATAACGATCTTGATAATGAACGCTTGCACTTCCCTAATTTAAAAAAAATAATCCGCAGTGACAATGAGATTGACGTCGGCCAATATAAGACATTTATTAAGGATCTTAAATCGGAATTCAAAAACAGATTTGTAGATTTTAAGAAAATTGAGAATGTCGTCGAAATCCTCAGCAACATTTACTCCCTGCATCCTGATGGTGAATGGAGCAATGAAGCTAAAAATGTTTTCGGGAGTAATAAAGCTACTCTACAGATGGAAATTATCGATTTCCAAGAAAATACAGTTTTAAAAAGTCACAAAAATACGGCAGTTTCGTGTGAAGACTTTTGGGTAAAATTTGTGTGTGGGAATAGATACTCAGAATTAAAAAAAATAGCCTTGAAACTACTTACTTTGTTTGGGTCAACGTATACATGTGAAGCTGCATTTTCCAAGATGAACTTTATTAAAAATAAATTTCGAGGTAGACTTACCGAAGAACATCTCCAAGATTTAATGAGAATAGCCTGCACTAACTTTAGTCCAAACTTCGGACAGATAGTTCAAGGGAAAAAATGTCATTTTTCACATTAATATTTGATAAAACCTTAGTTGTACTTAATTTTGTTGATTAAATTTGTTTATTATAATTAAATAACATTCAGCTATTCTTTCGTTTTATTTCTTCATTGATATTGTATCTATATTTACATATTTAAGTTTTGATTTGATTGATGATTTTCGGGAGGGGGAGGAGAGGGGGAGGGTGTGGATGGGGGGGGGTCTTTGAACCTTGTGGACCGCGGCGGTCAATTTATTTTAAAAAACGGACCTCGAATGAAAGTAATTGGTGACCCCTGTCCTAGCCGATTCCGGCCACGGCGGCCAATCTCAATGAGATTAGCCAACTGCGCAGTAGATATTATAGTGCTCAAGTGTACGCGCAGACACAAGTGCACTCTCTATCCCTATCACTCTCATACTCCGGTGGGACGACTACTCGACACGACCGGTGAGAGTTAAGGCGCAGGACCGAAGGCTTTACGTGCTCTCCGAGGCACGGGGGTGAAACACCGCCAACTTCCCAACTCCGGGCTGTTACTGAGACTTACTATACAGGAAAACTCAATAACTAAACTTGGCCCGACCCGGGACTCGAACCCAGGACCTCCAGGTGTGCAGCCGTACATGCTAGCTACTACACCACCGAGGCAGTTGGATACATATATAAAAAAAGCTTCAATAATGCAGAGTAGGTAATGTCGTTATTTTACATTTTTATACGAGTACTAGCGATTCACCCTCGCTCCGCCCGGGTTCTTCCTTAGGTACGTTTTGACGGTTAGTATAGATTTCTCAGTGATGAGATATTTTCCCGCAGTAAAAAGTATCCTATATGTTGACCCAGATAACCAGCTACCATCATACCAAATTTCATCAAAATGTGGCAAGTGGTTTTCTCGTGATGCCTTCCCAGTCAAACAAACAGAAAGAGACAAAAATTCTAAAAACTATAAATTCGGCTTCTGTATCGATAATAATGACTATTTCAATAAGATTTTCCAAAAAATATTAAATGTACAAATTCGACTCAGAATTTTATTTGTACATAGGTACATATATAATCTTTTGAAAATGTTTACAGGAACTCTTGATTCTGAAGCAAGCAACTATATTTATTCCCTAGACCACCCATAATATTTTATTTACTTAATAGATTTCCTTTTAAATATATTATACATATTCAATAAACATAAAACGACTTTAATCTCTTGAAAAACTCAATTAAAATAAATATCTTTAAATAAAATCATTCACAACACAACATTAGGTACTTGTTACTTTGTTGTAGAATTTTGAGCTCGTTTTACGATTTTATTATTGCCAATTACTCATCTATTAACGATATTTTATTAATTAGAAATGCTAGTTATGAGTTGCTAATATGGATAATCAAAATGAAACTAACGATATTTTAAGATTGCGATAAAGAAAAATGATTGTTATATAAATAGCCGTAATGAGTATTTAAATTATTCCTTCATTAACTATGAATGTAAAATACTAATAATATGAATGGTAATATAATGATAGAAATTTTAATTATGTTATTTATCGAGGAAGTCTACATGACCTCCCATGCAATTTACGGCTTTTATTTTCAAACATTACATTGTTGATGAAAGTTATGTTGGAGCTTTATGCTTTATTTATGCTTGAAAATGCCCATTACGAATTATTCAATATAAGCTAAAGGCATAATGTGTATCACATGGCACTCTATCTTGCCTGTAAAGTGTAAACCTTCTTAACTAGTGCGAAGTATCATAACGTGTGTCAATGGTGAAAATTGTCAATCCATACTTCCATACTTAATATTATAAATGTGAAAGTGTGTTTGTTTGTTTATTTATCCTTCTTTCACGTTGAAACAGAGTGACGGGTTGGCATGATTTTTGGTGTAGACATCGTTGGAGGGCTGGATAGTGACATATGCTTTTTACCGCGGGAGATTATATCATTCCCATGGGAAAACACGTTTTTTAATTACTTTAAACTTGGTATTAATGCTCTTTCATACAATTAAACAAATACGTGTTTTAGCATTTTTCGAAATTAATCCTATAAGGGGGTAAAATAGGGGTATAAAATTGGTTCTAAAAACACTATGAAACCTACCTTTTTGGAGTTTTTTTTGTAGTTTTAGCGCGAGCAAAGCCGCAGGTGCTGCTAGTATTCTTATATGTAGCAATTGACTAAACTTTTTAAAATTCTTAACTGTATAGGTACTTCAACTTTTTGCTTTCCTTACAATACTTTTATTATATTTTTTATTCATAAACATGAAGTATTCGAAGCAAAAACCATAATATTTCTTTCCTACCTATATTATGTTGTATTTAAATAATATTGAATTTGTTTTAATGTTTCATATTAAAAATTAAAAGAATTTGAAGCGCAAACGCAAGTTTACAGGAACGTAATTCAACATTATTTATCATTATATAAAAAATTGTTACACAGCCTTTGGCGTAAACGACCGTGCTAACTTTATTGCTAGGGCCGGAGAGGTCGTGAGGTTATCTCGAGCCGCGGAGATCTTTGTCAGGCCTCATAAGTGCCGATGGTCTGAAATGGCCTGTGAGATCGCGCGTTAGAACGAAAGACCAAATAAACATAATTTACGTAATTATATAGACATTCCTCGAGATTAGCGAAGGAAGATCCGTGATTGACCAAAAATGCATCGCTTATCTCAATCTTAATGTTATGAGATAGACTTAACGGTGAGTGAATTAGCTACAGACATTAATGAATATGTTATCGTGTATTTAGTAAATAGCCCATAAAGTTACAAGATAATTTCTCAAACGCAAAGTTTAATTTAAGTCATAAAAATACATAAACTTAAATTTAACAACAGCTCAAGTCCTTTTAGCTTTAATTTAAATTTAAGGACCTTATTTTGAGTGTAGACGTAACATTTTTTGCATATTTTTAAATATCTTTATTACAGTATTACATACTTTTAGAGATAAAGTACTCAGCGTAAATTAATTCGCTTCGTCAATATCAGCCAAGATACAGTAAGGATTTGCACAAATTAATTATAAATAATATAGATTGGGAACGAAAAATAATTATTTAAGGTAAAAAATTATCCCTATTGCATAAAAAGATATGTATAATCATTACTTCTGTACATTTCTTATTTAATAAATTATTTTCATAAGTTCTAAAATTCTTTAGATACTTGTATAAGCTGTTATGCTTAATGTATTACATAAAAATGTAAAGCCTAGCCGAACGATCACAATAGACCAGAAATCGTCACAGTGACACGAAATAGCCGCAAAACAGAAAAGCCTAGCAGATCAAGTTTTTCTATACAAATAAAATTCTCATTTTATCAATACATATAATAAAATTCTAACAGAGTCAAATCTGTATATTAAATATTTTTTGGAAAAACTTATCGAAATAGTCATTATTATCGATACTGAGACCGAATCTATAGTTTTGAAAATTGTCGTCTGTATGTCTGTCTAGGAACGTGTCAAGAGAAAACTACTGGACAGATTTTGATGAAATTTGGTATAATGATAGGTGGCTATTCGGTTTAACATATAGGATACTTTTTACTGCGGGAAAATACCTCATCTTCGAGAAAACTATACTAAGCGGACGTAACAAGTTACATTTATGCATTACGTATGTCGCTAGTTCTCAATATATAAAAAAAAATTACAACCATATAGACCAGAATCTTAGGACCTAACATTTTACCTTTATTTCATCTCAAACAAATACATCAAATTAAATAAGCACAACTTTGATCTCATCGCATATTCGTCTATACATAATTAAATTGTAATTAAGCCGAATCTGTACCGACATTAAATATTTTTTTGGAAAATCTTATTGACATAAACATTATTAACGATACAGAGGCCGAATCTATAATTTTTAGAATTTTTGTCTGTCTGTCTCTCTGTCTGTTACCGCATCACAGAAATCCGCGGGGAAAATATCTCATTTCTGAGAAAAAATACAAAAACTGCAATGTAACAGTATACTAAGTAATATATATAATGTTAATATAGTATTACTTTATTTACACACATTAACTGCCTCGGTGGTGTAGTGGCTAGCATGTACGGCTGCACACCCGGAGGTCTTGGGTTCGAGTCCCGGGTCGGGCCAAGTTTAGTTATTGAGTCTTCCTGTATAGTAAGTCTCAGTAACAGCCCGGAGTTGGGAAGTTGGCGGTGTTTCACCCCCGTGCCTCGGAGAGCACGTAAAGCCGTCGGTCCTGCGCCTTAACTCTCACCGGTCGTGTCGAGTGGTCGTCCCACCGGAGTATGAGAGTGATAGGAATAGAGAGTGCCTTGTGTCTGCGCGTACACTTGAGCACTATAATATCTCCTGCGCAGTTGGCTAATCTCATTGAGATTGGCCGCCATGGCCGGAATCGGCTAGGAGAACATCATCACTTTATTTACAATAAAGAAAATTACAAATATACTTATCACATAATATAGTTAATATTTTACTTGATTGTATCCATTATAACATGACTCCATACGTTGTGTTATGTGTTGCGTTTGTGTATGTTGTGTAATGTGATTTTTTCCATAGAGTTAGTTTCACGAGTAGTTTATGGGGCCGGAGAGTCATAAAATACTCTTTATCCGTGGAATATACCAAGCAGTGCCGTATTAACAAATATGACTAGTAAAACGACTAGTTTAGTGAATAATAGTATAAGTAATAAATATAGTAAGCAAAAAATACCTAAAAGGCTTCCGTAAAAAATTAAAAGTCGATTTAGAAGGTTGGAACGTTTTCGGTTGATGTAACATAATTAAACCAATTTAACCAATTAATTTTATCTTATATATACAATAATAAACATTGTTATTGTTTATTTGTAAGTATTATAGGATACTGGAAGTATTAAACTGGTTTAAAAAGTACTCTAATCCCTGCGTAGCTTAAGCAATATTTTATTTACCGCCTTAACACAAAAACGCAGAGAAAAAATATTAATAAACGATGTTGAATCCTCTTTGAAAATTGGAAATTCTTAT